ATGTGAGGATTCCTGGGCACCATTAAGGTTTTAGTAGAGAATAGGACAGTGAACCTGGACTACATCATGTCCCTATTTTCAGGGGATCACCCCCCAGTGTTCTTCAGAAATACAGGCATAAGTTCAGAAAAAGTAAAAAGTCAAATCCAAAGGCTTATACATAAGATGTAGGGTTGGAGTTTTGCCAGGAAGGAAACTAGCACAAAGGATTTGAGAATATTGAAAGAGAACGGTTAAATCAATGAATCATGGAATATTTATGTACTAAATATACAAACCTAGGATTACACACTCATAGCTCCTATAATACGACAGACAAGAAAATATGAAAAGCTCCCTGCTACAAACACCCAGAAATGCTGGGTTAGTTGTATAGCTCACAAGAATATAATGTAAATCTCCAAAGGCCAGGAAACAATAGGAATTGTAAAACAAGAACAGTGAACTCATGAGCTACAGTTCTGCCTTGTCCTGGAGGTAATGAGAAAGATGACTTAGAATATTGGTTTAAAGACTCATAAGGGACAGGAGACAAGGTCTGGGCCCTGTGAAGTGGAGGTTAGCATCGAGACCTTCATATAAAACAGAATCACAGAAGTGAAAAGATGGGCCAGAAAAATTCTATTCACTGGCATGGAAAGACAGTAAGAGGTCCTTGTAAGCAGACAGAGGCTCATCAGTCTCCTCCTGAATTCTAGGTATAAGGGAGCAAAACACAGGTCTTCTGTGAGTGAATATTCACCATTCAGGACTTTATCTCACACAGGTTTGATATTGAATTCACCCTACCAGCACTGTCTGGGAATTGCTGGCTGGAGAGGTTAACATAAAACTTGGTCCCAGTTCAAAATTTAACAGCAGAAAGCTGGAAAAGAAATACCTTACTCAGGCTACATGGGCTTTTCATCATAAAGCCACACAGAGGCTGAGTTCACAATGCAAAATTACAGCCTCCATAGGAAACAACCTACCTTGAGTGAGTGAGCTGACATGATATACAAAGGGATCAAAACCCCAGGAAATTCAGCTGACCACACAATATAACAGAGACTCTAGAATAAATGTGTTTAAACAAAAGATACAAAATGAGCAAAGAGAAAACAAAAAAAAAATCCATGAAGAAGAAGAAAACCAGTTCTTACAGGAATGAAATATAATCTTAACAAATGAAAAACATGATCATAATTAAAATTAGTGTGTAATGGAATACTAGAGATGAAGAGATAATTTATGCATCAAAGTCAACTATTGGGAAAGAGGAAACTGAATTTAAGAAATAAATAAGGATATAATTAGAAATAGAGAAAATGTAAGAGAGGTGGTACTCAAAAGCATAATGACTGAGAACTTGACAAAATTAATTTAAAAAACTTAAATTTTCAAGTATGAGAGGTACACGAAGTCCCAATGAGTAAAAATAAACAGCAAATATATAAATAGTTCCACATCCAGATGCATCACTATGACACCAAAGACCAAGAGGTGATCTTAAATTACTGAAGAAAAGACAGACTACTTATAAAGGACAATTAGAATGACAGCGATAGAGAGGGTGGGGAAAAACCAGCCCTTTCAACTATCCTTGTAATTTGATATAGCCTAGTGAAGGTTGTTTAGTTTTTGTTTCAAAAATCAAACTTTAAAATGTGTATAGATTTGTCTCAATAATTTAACTTCTGATAATTTCTCTAAAGGAATTAGTTACACAGTATCAGCTCAAGATTATCCCAAAGTGGTTTATAATAGTAAAATTTTTTAAAAATTAAAATTTGTCTCAATAGACTGATAAAATATGTGATGAAATTCCATGTGGCCATGAAACAGAATGAGATTGATCTGTATGCATTCACTTCTAAAATTATCCACTGTATATGTGACTTGAATCTGTTCCCTATCTCTGAGCCTCACTTTCCTCATCTCTAAAATAGGGGTAAAAATGACACCTACCTGTTAGACTGTTGAGATGATTATATGAATTAATAAGGTCACACAGCAAACAGTATATAATTATTTGCTGTTTTTATCATTACTTAATTAATTTAATAAGTACTTACATAGTGTTTGCCATGTGCAAGGTATTATTCTATCTCTTTAGAAATATCAATGTGTTCATAAATGAAAAAGTAAGATAAAGAAGAGTATATTACATACTAGAATATATATATTAAACTGTTCATCGTCATCATCTCTGCATGTAGAATTACATGGGGACTTAACTTCTTCCATATACTTTATATGGCTCTGTATATTTTGAACTTTTTCAGAGAACTGTATAATCAGGAAGAATTAAAATATGAATTATGCTTTGGAAATTATTTCTTCTAAACATTATACTATTTCAATAAAGTCACATCAACCTCTCCATTCTTCTGATATATTACTTTTGCAGCTCCGCAGCTCGGTTCTGCTCTAGGACAAACTCAGGATGGGAAGCTTTGTGGAAGGCAATTGAATCCCTATGTTGATTAGATAGATATTCACACCTGACAATTGGCTGAAGCGCTGGAGTTGAGAATGAGGTCCTGACAAACAGACAGGGAACATGCCATTTTCTCAGGGAAGAAATCAATCCATAAAAATAGTCAGTTTGAGACCTGCCAGAGGAAGTAAGGGAGTCACCTAGGCGGAGTGGGAATCGAAGGGGTCTAGGGAGCTGCAGCTGCTGGTGGACTCTCTCCCATCTGATTCTTCTTTCCTACTCACGGGCAGAAACCTGGAATTTATGATTCTATGGTTGCTTGGACCATCCAATGCTAAAATTCAATGTGGGTTCTGATTTCTCAGTGAAAATTTTCAATACTGGTTGGGTGTTATTGACTCATAAAGTAAAATGAAGCTAAGTTCCCACAGAACAGTGAGGCACTACTAGGAGGGAATTACATAGGTGCTCTGATTTGACTTTGACAGGGGAGTCTCTGTGGCTTCCCAAATTGCACAGTCACCGGGACTGCACAAAAGAGTGGTCAGTCTCACAGCTGTGGAGCTCTTCCTCTGGAAAGGTTATCTCCTGTCTCAGGTATCCCTGTGACAATGGACTTCAGGATAGGTTTCATGGCAGGATGGTGTGAGGAGGCCCAGAGAAATCTATGTGTCATATTTCATAGACTGTAAGATGCTCATTTAAAAATATTTCACCATATTGGGGGTGAATTTCAGAGCCATTGGTTTCTTACAGTCACCCTTGGCTGATTTTTTGTTTCTTCATTGTGCATTTTAATATCTCTGAAATTGAGATTTGTCTTACTGGTCTCAAAGGCAATCACACCTATTTGTGGCCTCTGCCCTCTAGCTAAGATCATTCTTTAGCTCTCTCCATATACGCGAATGAATCTATAATGATAAAGCAAAGAGAAATCCATCATGCTGGCTCATAAAGATTTCCTTATATTCCCTGTGCTTGAGATAATGTCTTTCAATTAGCTCCCATGGACATGAAAGTAGCACGATTCCATGTAGCCCTTTCCCCCTAACAATTATATTTGCTATATATTAGTTTTGTTAGGCTGAGAACAGAGACCAAGTGGCTTGTCAGAGCCCTATGGAGGAGTTCTCCAGGTCAAGCGATGGTCATCTGTTTCTCCAATCTGCTTCATGCTCTCCTTCAGGTATATAGTAAGATCCAAAGGAAGATTCATACTGTTTACCTTATGTATCTTTACTGAAACAGTTTTCACCAGAGTACTCTAAAGGCCAGGAAGACAGACACACTCAGGGGCAGAGCAACAAGACAATAGAATGTAATCATTTGAGTGGTTCGAAGGCTATTTATTGAAGGAGATGCTGATTCATGGAGACCTTGGAGGACCTCTGAAGTGCAAGATTCTGATTTTACTTTCCTGTTTTTGACCAGAGGGGTATTCTCCCTTTAAAAAATGTGTTTAATAAACACTATATCATAGAAATTAGATGCTTTTAATATGTAATATAATTCTTGGTTTTATAGCTGGAAGGTCAATGTTACGAGTTTTTTAGTCACTGGGAAAGAACCATTTAAAACTTTACATGTACATAATTTCTTATATTTCCCTTATATTCTTACTTATTTCACTTATAGTTTTCGACTTAAATATTATGAAATGTTTTATTTATTTGGAGCTGAGTGTGGATCTTATTATATTCTGTGGCGATCACATTCAGACAATCCTGCTGTATGTATAGAATCTGGTTAAGTCTAGAATACTTGAGACTAGAATTCAAGTAGATGGATGTTGAAATATACTGGGCTCCCTGTTGACTGCATTTTCTATTATTACCTTGTTTACCCTGGGAGCTATAAGTCATTAAGGAAAAGACTGGCCAGAAGAGAAGCTGGAACCAAAGGAGGTCTCTCAGTCAGCAATCAGCATGGGACACGGAGGCTCGGCACTGTCCAGAGCTGCAGATGAGAGCTCTAGAGGCAGACCAGTATCAAGACCAAGATCGAGCAACCCTTCTAGATAGAGGGTTCCTGCCGACTTCCCTCGTGTTTAAACAATTCCTTGTTTGCAGGGCCCTCAAAAAGCAGAACCTGTCTCAGCACTTGGGAAAGGCATTTTGGGAAGTGAAAAGGGAAGATGAGCCATTTGGCAAATGTAATTGGCCTCCCTGCATGAGTCTCCATCATGTGATCACTTGTCACAGTACTTGGTGCTATCAGTCAGTTTCTCTGCAGGCTGACAGACTTCACCATGTACATTTAGGGCTGACCTGGTCTATCAGAGATATTTCTTTCTCTCTCTCTCTTTCTCTCTCTTTTTTTTTTTTTGCAGGCCTATGTGGTATATAAGACAACTAGTAGAATTCTAAAAGACAAAAACAAGTCATGTCATATTTATATATGTGATATGACAGAATCAAATGTCAATATGTCGATGTGAGGTCAGCCCTGTTTAGAAAACATTAGACTTCTGGCTGCCTTCTTTCCTAGAGATCAGATTTCTTTAATGCATCTAGAAAAGTGGAAGCAATCATGTAATGTTTACACAACATTTGATTTGCTCTTTCCTTTGTTTATGCTGCAGCTCTAAATATGACCAATGTCACAGAGAGAGGTATTTCCAACCCCAGTGTGTGCTGTGCTCTCAGCGATTGCACTTGTAATAAAATTTGCAGTGGTCCTGTGCCCGGTATCAATTCTACTTGTTTTGATGCCACTAACAGGTTTGACTTGCTGTCATGAGTACACTGTGCATTTAAAATCCAAACAAAAGAATAAGGCATAAACCTTTGATATGCCTGGGGGCTAGCAGGGGGAGAAATTAAATCTGCATGATTCATGGGGTGCATGTTCCCTAAGAGTTTGACCCATTGATTTCCACTTTAGGGAATATTATGTTGCAGTCTCATCTAAAAAGTTCTATAGTGTTTCAAGAAACAATGGTAAAGTGGTTCTTTAGTTGAAGAGTTGCCTGGAAAATTATCTAAGGAAAAAGAAGTTATAGTACGATTTTAGCCCTGAGCAGATAACAATATGAGTGAAAGAATAGGTAGGCCCTCTTTCACTGCAGGTATGAAGAAAAATGTGTTTCAAAGACGTGTCTTAAATTACTTAAGATAATCAAATTATTTAATATAATGTTGACATTGTATTATTTGAGATATAAAGTTATTGTGACCTGAAAATGCACACTCTAATGGGTAAGCTTTTATGTTCACTTTCAGATATTAAAATGAGCTGCACAAGTTCAAATACATATACACAAAACAGGAAAAGTTCTCTCTCTCTAATGGCTAATTTATTCAACAAAGATTCTCTGAGTGATATTTCAGGCATTGTGAAAGACAGAGAAGGTCATACCTTCATTGGCTTAATTTCAAAATATAACTATTTTGAATCATGGGAGGATATCACAGAAAGCTATTAGAACTACATGGCAACATGGAATTTAAATAATATTACATTCAGTTATTTCCTTCAGAAACCAAAGACACAACTTTCAGATTTTAAGTAATATATGAACTTCCATGAATGATTAACTATACAAGGCATGATTTTGGGAGGGAACTTAATGTACTAGCTAATAACATGGCTCTGGAGTCTAGAGTAATCTGCCTGAGTTCAAATCCTGGTTCCATCACTGTGTAATGTCAGATCAGTTACTTAGTCTCTTTGTGCCTCAGTTTCCCTATCTACAAAATGAAGCTAATAATACTTTCTACCTCATAAATTCTAAAGGATAAACTTAGATGACATATTTAAAGCTCTTAGAAGAATGCTTGACACAGAGTAATCCCTCAAATAGTGGTTACCAATGTTAGTTCTAAGACTAATGTAACTTCTGTACAACAGAAGCAATGATTTAAGCACTTGTAAAGATAATTGTAGTTCTTTATTTGATGTGTCATCTTTATCTTTGAGGTAGAAAAAGTGAAATTCAATGGCAAAAACTAAATTTTATTTAAAATAGAGTTGATTTTTATTAGCTTTGGATCTATCACAAGAGTAACCATAGGATTTAAAGCCAGCATGGGCCCCAGAAGTCATAGCTCAATGCCTTATTTTGCAGATAATGAAAACTTGAGACCAGAAAAATCATTTCTTTGCCCGGGTTAGCAAGGAGCTTGGATGCCTCCATTCCTAAGCCAGGACATCTTCCATTAGCCTATCTTGAGTCTTTCCTTTCTCTAGATTTATTATCAGGACCCTGGATTGTTCAATTAACATCATATAGACCTGGGGGTTAATCCTGACTCTGCACTTACTGGTTTTGTGAGGCTGGATAATTTAATTAATCTCTGCAAGTCTATTTCCTCATTTGTGAAATGGGGTCATTATTCCTTAGCATGTAGAGTCCTTAAAGTGGACAGCATATTTAGAGCATCTACAGGGTAGCTTTTTGAACATTCTGGCTTTTGTTGGTATTGTCATCTGTTGTTTGCATTGCTATAAAGCTGGATGACTTCCACAGAGAGAATGTTGCTGTCTAGGCTTCTCAAATTTCATAAATAGAATGTCAACATTACCAAATGCTCTTCTGTTTCCAAAGAACATAAATCTACCCTCAATCAGCAATGCTTTGTATCTGCATTCTTGGATTAGAGATTATAACTTGACAAGTGATGTTAGGAAGCTTACCTCAGGAGCACTATGAAGATGTGCCTTTCCTGGTAAACTGGAGAGGGGCTGTTTGGAGTCAGCTTGTCCAAAACCCAACATAACAACATGAAAGTCAAAGCAGCCTCAATACATATCCTGAGTTTACATCGTATTTTACTCACTACAGAAAGAGCTGTTTTCCAGAAATCTTGTTAGAAATACTGATCATTCTGAAGTAAACCTTAAGTGAGAAATTTAAAAAATTGTGCCTGTGGGAAAAAATGGTCTCTCCTGAGAAACTGGCATTTTTTTTTTGTTTCAAATAGTGAAAACTGTACTTTCTTTCACCTTATTTTTTGCCTTACTTGGCATATACCTCAGAATTCATTCTGAAGCTGAGTCATAGTATCTGTTATACTAAACTGACAAGAACTCTCCTTTTCCCTGAAACTAGTGTGTTGTTATTTCATTTAATGTATTTTCCCATCCTTGATTATTCACTTTGAAACCTCTATGGAAATAATGAAGCTGATGGATTAATGGAACTCTCCCTCTAAGTTTGTGGTTCTCAAATACCAGTATACACCAGAAGCATCTGCAGATCTTATTAAAAGTCACAGCTCTAGGATTCCTCAGAGAATCAGATCTGATGGGTCTTGGTAGGGCCTTTTAACAATATCCCAAATGATCCTTATGTAAGTAGTCCATTGAACCACACTTTGAGAAACACTGACTTGAGGATTTCTACTTGGACTGCCTTTATGCCAGATGAAGCTAAAGTCTTAAGAAGAAAGTTAACTTATCCATAATTAGTAGATAAAGATTGGGATAGCTTCAAATTTATTCATTGTTGAATGCCTACTATATCCCATATAATGAGTTATTCCTAAAGACACAGAGATAAATAAGACATGGTTCATTTCTTGACAAGTTTTCAAATTTAGTGAGGAAGATGGATGTGCAAGCAAGAAATTATAATAATCACAGTTCAATAGAATTGCAATGATTGAAGTTTGTGTAGAATACATACACAGGACAGGGGAGATGGTGTGATAGGTAAGGAAGGCTTCAGAGAGGTGAGGTCCAACAGGGCTTTGATGGATGAATAGCAGCTCATGCTACAGGTCGTATCACAGTGAAGGAAGGGAAAACGCAGATTTATCATACAAGCATAGGCTGACACTGACTCATAACCAAGAAGTAAAAGATAAACTAGAGAGTTTAGGACAGTATGTGTTAGTGGTGCTATAAAAACCAGAATGAGCTACAATTTGACTCACAGGCTAACACTGGGATTATACTACATGCTGTTCTTTCCTGGACTTGATTTTTAAATGGGTATATCTCTACCATCTTGTCATCTTGGGAACCTACAGTTTGAGTACTTACACGTCCTATTTGGACATCAGAATCCCATCTCAAAAGCCACAGAAATGTTCCAAATCCAAGCTACTTTAGACAACCAGGATACTAAGATTAAGGTTAAGATTCAGATTATGGCTCCTTCTTTTTCTTTTCCCAGCTAAAATTCTGGTTAGCTAAAAAAATACAAACTTTAAAATTAAAAAACTTCTGGTTCTTAATAAACTTAAGCTTCTTTGCTATCAGAAGTCAGATATCTTTCTTTTCATGAGATTAGGTAAATATATATATATATATATATAATTTAAAAGTAAACTAAGATTTTGATAAATGTACCATGGTTGTGTAAGATGCTAACATTAGAGGAAGTTGAGTGAAGGGTGCTTGAAAACTGTCTATTCTAACTTTGTAACCCTTCTATAAATCTAAAGTTATTTCAAACTAAAAACCTTTTAGAAGAGTAAACGAAGAAAGGCTTCTGTCCTGGTGATTAAGCAGTTTAGCATCTCTTCCCATTAAAACCAGAAAATATCATAATTTTTAAAGAATGAAAAAAGTGAATGGGAACCAAAGTCCAACTTCTGTATTGGTTTATAGTTAACCCCCTAATATATTTTCAGAACTATTTTAACAAAAATATTCTTAAGAGTTGCTCTATCTATGTCCAGGACTGAAAGAAAAACAACTTAACTTCATGTGGCTCTTGTTGGATTTACTTGGTAAACACTTCTTGTTCATAGTCATTATTCACAGGCCACAGAAACCTTCCCAGCCCAAGGCGCTTTAGAGAAGCGTGATGTCACAGAGGCGAGCAAGTCTTACATGGAGGACTTGGAGAAGACTCACTGTTTGGGGGGTGCTGTGTATGTTTCTAAGGGAGCTTGCATTCCAGTTCCTTCAGAGATGGAGTCACGTAGATCAGCCCCCTCATGCATTGCTCTGCATCAAAGGGGAGAAATGTATAAACAGTGGCAATACCCACGATCGGGTTTCTTTGCTTTAGTTACAAGAAGCCAGGAAAGGAAAACAGGTATTTACTTGGGTTTATCATTATTATTGTCAGGTTTTCTTTCAATGATTGGAAAACAAAAGAAGAGCCTGTTCAGAAACAAAGTACCACAGAGCTTCAATGGGATTACTTTTCAACTACCCCCTAGCCAGTTTTGGTTTATAAAATAAATAAAACAATTAAACTGACCCTTTTTGTTCTTTGTGGGGCTCATCTGTAACAGGTGTCTTTGACTTCATAATTCTTAAAATATAATGCTAGCTGAGACAAAATGTAGCCTGGAAGAACAGTCAAATAATCTAGTATTGATTAGCATTCATGTTTTAATAATAGGATCTGAAGAGCGGATTTCTATTTCTACAAAGTGATTCCTCTCAGATAATTGAGGAATGGATTTAAGTACATGCTTCTAATGCCTACAAAAAGGGTGCTCAATAGGCGCAATTCCTGGGATGCAGCCAGCTAAGGCAGATTGACAGTTTAAAGTAAAATAATAAAATAACCATCTTCTTTTGAAGTCAGGTAGAGGGCTTTTACCAGTCAGGAAGATGCCATAGAGATAGAAATAGCTCTAGGAAGGAAGGGAGGGAGGGAGGAAGGGACAGAGGAAGGGCAAGGGAGGAGACCTAGCTTCAAAATTAGCCTCCAATACTTTCTAGCTATGTGTTAGTTGCTATATTAAATACTTTGTACAAGTTATTTCATTTAATCTTCTCCATAATTCTGTGAGTTGAAGATGATATCTACATGTTCTGCATGAAGAAACTGAAGTTCAGAAAGTTGAGGAACAGCCCAGATCAAACTGCTCCTAAGCATTAGAGTGAGGATTCTAACCAGATATTCCTGCCTGGGTAGTTGTCGAGGTATTGTATATGACTGCAAGGAAATGATCCTATTAATATGGCTTGATTTCCCAAAAGCCCAAGAATAGTGTTCTTAAAGTACCAGATGGTCAGAGATTTTTTAAGCTATTGCCCATGAAGAAAATTATAAACAATGCCATCCTACAAAGTGCAAAGAATGCATATTTCATGAGCCTCCCTTGAGACTCCAGCTCTAGGTAGCCAAACTCCTATCATCTTGGCCCTCCTCACTCTTCCAGCCAAAGGACCAGAAAGCACCCCACGGTTCTGCCTATTTTCTCTTCTGGGTTTGTTTCTTTCTCTCCACAGTGTCTACACAACCTGTATGATGTTACTTTCTCTCCTATGCAGCAATACATTTCCCCTCCAAATTTCTTCCCCAACCAACTAGTAAGGTGATTTAAGTAGGAAAAACTTAATTTATCTTTCTTAGAAATCAAACCATATTCACACACATACATATTCACATTCACATTCTAACTTGGGGAGATAGGCCCTTATGAGAACAAGTATAAAGACAAGTGTTGGATAGCCATGATCGTCAATGGAATCAATGATCTAACTCTATTATTATATGAATGCAAATGAAAACTTGTACAAATTTATATTAATAGAGGTAGAGTATTTAGAAAGAGTCCTGTTCTTTGAATTTGTAAGACTCTACATGTGTGCTTGAGTTTCAGTTCTGGGTGCCACAAGATAAAGAGGATACATCAAGATAGGAGCATTAAGTTCAAAACTGAGCGATCAGAATGGTGAACTGAGACTGACAACCTTGGGAAAATGAAACTATTTGATGGATTTCTTTCTTCATTTTTGTCCAGTAGAAATGAGGTCTTTTGGTCGTAATTATAAAGAGACTGGCGTTGGTCTGATTTAGAACATACTCTTTTTTATTTTTTAGCAGAGTTGTTTAAAATGGGTTGTTATGACAGTACTAAGTTCCCCATAAGCCAAAATATTCAAGAAAATGATGGGTATACTATTTAGCTTGGATGTTGATCTTATCTCAGATTATTCCAATAAATCTCTGACTCTCTAAACATCCTACTGAACAATCCCAAGAAAGCAGGGAAGGAAAATTGGTAAATGGTAAAACAGTAAATTCAGAAGTCAAGAGAATCCTAGTAGGCTAGATAGCTGAATAATGGAACAACCAGGAGTACAGTCTGATCTTGAAATGATAAAATACACCTCACACACTAAATGAGTGTACTTAAGCTTAAGTAGCTTTTGCTGATCATTCTCCCAGAATTTTCTCTAACTTAAAGTAATCTCAATTGTGTGTGCATGTATGTGAATGTGTGCACATATGTGTTTATTAACATATAAGCATATATAAATATGTATGTACAAATATGTACATTTGCATTTGTGTGTAGAGAGATATTTTGAGGGTCTATATATGAAGATAAAATTTCTGGGAGAAATTCTAGGTCTCCCCCCTAGGAAATTGGCAAATCTTAGACATTCTTTTCTTCTTTTGAAAGAGTGCAGGAAATGGGCATATTCTTTCAAAACTTCACACTGCTTCCAATTGCAAACACATCAAGCAAAATGAACAATAGTAGTGATAACAAAATAACAATGAAGTGGAAAACAGCAAAGGAAAGCCAGCATTGCCCTCAGGCTATTCTCCCAAGTATACAGTCCAGGAAAAGATCACCGGAGATGCAGGATTTACCTGCACTTGCTCCAAACCCGGAAAAAAGCGGTATAACAGAAGAGAACAGTGGGTGATGAGTGAATAGGACACTCAAAACTTCCTGAGGCCGTTCCACCCTAGTGGGATGAAATTTTAGAGCTATTGCATCCAGGGAAGAAAAGACACTTAGTATTCCCATAGGAGTCCCAAGCCCATCTCAGCCCCTCATATATAGGTACTCAGCTGGTGAACATAGAATTAAATAAGATTTTTTTCCAAGTTTGGAAATAAGCACCAATTGTGCTGAAGAACTAGAAAGACATACCCAACCCCAAAGCATTCAGATGAAAATTTTCAGGCCCAATATTCCCAACCATGGACCTTCGTTTATTTCTTCAGATTAAATTAAGGTTTCTGTTACAAAACAGGGAATCTCTCCAGCCTTAGGTGCTCAGATGACCAGTTTTAAGTATGGAAAGAAACTTCTATTTATCTGATAACTAGACTTTACCAGGCACTGTCAGGGATGTTATAAAAAAAATGATTTTTTTGTTGAGAGGTACATTTGACAAACAAGATTTAATTCTTCTTTTAATCATAAATGTATTCATTTTGGAAATTTTAAGTAGTCTTTGACCTTGATACTTAGAAAAATAAAACAAGAATGTGTCACTAACCTGGTTGGTGGACATAGGAAAAATTCAGAGTAAAACCTAATGGGGAAATTCTAAGTTCACTTAAATTTAAGAGGATTGGGTGCTAAGTGTAAAAACGTTAAGTGAAAAAAAAGTTGGGTGCTAAGCCTTCTCACTATGATGCTAGATTAGAATAGAAGATGATGTCTGATAAATGGAGTGGAATTTTGGCTCTGCTCTCATGCAGCGAATCTCTGAGTCTCAGATTCCTTGTCTGGAAAATGGGCTGAATAATATCAGTTATGTACAATCACAGGGATTTGGCCAGGGTTAAACAAGATCATACACAATGTGTTTCTATAGTCTGTTTAGAACTATGCAAATGTATTCTTAAAGTATTTATACTTATAAACAAATGTTGCAGTTGACTGATCACTAATTCCAAGGAAATCTAAATTGACATGAGAAAATAAACCGTCAGGAAAGAAAAGTTGAGCTCCATGTGGGAGCTATGTCTAATATGGTTACATTAAACATTTTGGAATGTTAGTTGTCTCTTTTCTAGGCTTATAAAAAATTTGTAAATTCTCAATTCTGTATACCCAATTTAAACATTTCCACATCTTTCTTTGTAGCTTGCTTCACTGGTAGGTTCCTAGAAGATGATTTGCTTCTCTGCCCTGAGAAGCCTCTGGGAGTTGATCCAGGGGAGAGAATCTCTGTTGGTGGTAGGCCGTGTTCTGCAGAAACCCCCTAATCCCTGTTTACCGCAACATGAGTCTATTGCCATGGAAATGATAGCTGAGATCCCAGATTCAACATCACTGACTTCACAGCAGGGCCTCGTAAAAGGCGAAGCCAAACTAACAAGGGGAAACACAATTTATCAGAATAGTAGATGGTCTGTTGCCTTGAAAGAAAGGGTAATTGTCCACATTAAAATAAAAAATGCATGAACAAGCTTTGTTGGGTATGCTGCAGCTTATTTTCTATGTAGTATTGCCTGACGGAAAGTAAGAATTTGAAACTTTATATCATTTAACAGTTTGCTTTTAAAAAGTCAGCAGTTTCCCTGGATTGCATTTGTTTCTTATTGAAATAAGAAACAAGCAGATTCTAATTAATCTTGTTGCTCAACTGATGTTTCTGTGGTCAAAATTTCCCTTTTCATGATGTGTTGTTTTTGTTTGTGTGTTTATTATGTGTGCGTTTGTCTTATCATTTCTATTAATAGAAGAAACTGAACCCGAGCAAGATACTAAAGGTATTTTTTTTATTTCTGAAGGTGTTTTTTTCTTTCTGCATTGCTTCTTTTTAAATGTATGGTTCTGTTCAATTGTTTACTTTTGCTGACTTCATGAACAACTGTAAATGCCATTATTTTGTTAGGAAATAAATGACATATGGGAAACAGTAAGTCAGCATTTAACAGAATGTTACTAGATGGGCTGCTTTATTGTATACTTATTGACCATTAGCTTTTACCAAGAAAGGAGTGAGTCAACAGATATGTTTAAACTAGACGTTCCAAACTCTGAAAGTGCAAGAAAAAAAAAAAACCAAAATGAAATGACATAAATCAGCATGAAAACATAAATCTCACACAGACTGGAATAGCAAGTTACTCTGACTAAAAGCCTTTTTTAAAAAACTGAAGTATAGTTGATATACCATCTTATATTGGTTTCAAGTATATAACACAGTGGTTCAACAGTCACCCATATTATTAAATCCTCACCCCCACTAGTGCAGTTACTCTCTATAAACACAGGAAGATCTCACAGAATCATTGACTATCTTCTCCATGCTGTACTACCATTCCCAGAACCAACTTCTAAAAGCTATTTTTTTGTGCGGAGGGGAGAGGAGTTACAATTTTTGGAGAAATGTAAAAATATCAAGGTGTCAGCTTAGGGTTTTTTGTTATTACTTTAAAAGGATAGATATTATGCAATTGCTCCAAACCAAAGGACATCAATCAAATTTAATTTTAATGGCACAAAGATACATGTTTAGTGGAATATGTTTAGAGCAAACCTTACTGTAGAACAAGAGTTTTCCCTCCAAGAAAGCACCTTCCATTCTGATTTAACACTCAATTTTATACTGTTCTAACCTAAACTTCTATACTTTTGAATAAAATTCACAAGTCCTCATATAATACAATTTGTCTTCAAGAATAAACTTCAGGCTAGTTATTGTTTGAAGCAGGTGAAACAGCACCTCCATATCTTAATATCTCAAATATGGTATTTGAGATGTTTTCCTATTTCTAAACCTTAGGCTGCTTACAATTAAATTTAGATAAAATCATTTCACCTGCTCCTGGGTTATTTTGTTTTTCTTTTCAGTTTTAGTTTTCGTTTGTTTTTAGTTTACTCCTATTGGTCTTTGTTGGTTGAATCAAGTAACCTAAAAAACCTCCTTACGGAAAGGTAGAAAATACTAAAGAAAGAAAAGAACAAGAGAAAATAAAACCTATGAGAGCTCATTGTGTCCTTTGAAATAACTGCTCAGTAATAGAATTTATAAGGGACTTAAGTATTCCTCTGGTCCTACTCCCTTACCAAGAACAGAGAGGTAATTCATCATCAGCCAAACTGCTCATTAATTTCAGGACTTAATCTAGGCCCCCTGCCCATTTAGGCTTTCCATTACACCACCAGTATAATTTCAGAAAGAATAATAGCTCTACCTCCATATTACAAATTCAGATTACCCCTTCAAATGACAATCAATCATAAAACTTATTATGTATCTGAAGGTACTTTGAAAAATGACAGAGAGAGAGAATGAGAATATAATATGGTTATGTTGTAAAGGACTTTGGAATCTCTGGCTGCTGAAGCCCACTCTTGAATGTAGGGTTCTCAACCTGGAGGTAGCATTATAAACTTACCCAAGGGGACTTAAAGCCCAGAACTCATGATTAGATATCATGAGAGAAAACCCAGGGATAAATAGATAGCCCAGGTCTATGTTCCAGGTTGCAGATGAACAATAACTTCCTTGCCCACGGGAAAGAGCTCACAGCAATTTGGAAAATGATGGGTAAGAAAATCTATAGAAAAGTGAGATTAATAACTTTTTTCTTTAAAAATTCACATTAAAACATTGTAAACATATTCCAGATTACTAAGTAATGTGAGGTCCCCTCTATTAAGCAGCTTATTTATGTATCAAAAACACTTTCATATTGTCTTTCGTGCAAATACATGCAAAATAGAGAGATTCAATGGACATTTTACTTGATGTGGAACATATCATATTGCTTTTAAAACCTGATGACCTAGAATACATTTTCAGTTTGTGGCTACCAGTAAAAGAACAGGAGCTTATTACTGAACTACATCTAAGCTTATTACTACAGGTGCCTGATTATCCATGGAGATCAATCTGGCATTTATTTTTAATTGCAACTGGCTCTACTGTTTTCATTTTGACCAATGTGGTGGATTTCTTTCACCACCCTTCACCTTTAATGCTTGGAACTAGTAACAAATACAGACTGGTATAAAAATACCAGCTTCCTTGCTGATAAAGCCGGATTGAAGAAATAAAGCTTTTCATGCCATCTTCCAAGAATTAGGCCAACACAACTTTCATTTCCTCCTCTTCTTCAGCCCCTCCCCAGTCTTCTGTCTTTCATCCCAGATTGTTTGATGGAGAACCCCGGACCTGGGGAATTTATTGCACATTAACCATGTACCCTCCTGTTTGAAGGGCTGCTGGAAGCATGATGGCCAGAGAGAGCTGAGATATTCAAAACATATTCAAGTCCCTTCCCCAATCTCACCAATCAGAGGAACCACTCACTCATTCATTCATTTATTCACTCAACAAATGTTTACTGAGTGTCTACCATGTACTAGGCAGGGTTCTGGATCCATCTATCTGTCATCTGTCTATCAATCAGCCTATGTCAATGGACAAAGCAAGCTCTCTGCCCCTGTGATGCTTACAATTCAGGGAACAGCCAAAAAAAACACAAAAAACAAATCAATAGTTTTAACATGGTGACAAGTGTCATGCAGACATATAAACAAGGGTAGAGTTGTGAAGGCATTAGAATAAGGAGAGCTTTGAGTTAAAACCCAAAAGGTATTTGCAACCTTCTTGGACGGAAGGAAACTGGCAGGAAAGGTGGAAGCTCCCTTTCAATACTGGAAAGAGGGGGCAAGTTTCTATTTAACCTTTAGGCAAGAAAGTGAGAGTGCAGGAGAGACCAGCTTCCCTGACCTTTTTTTTTCTCTTAGCCAATTGGATTTAACAATGTGTGCTGAGAAGCCAGGGCTGGTGTTTTGAAATGAGAATATGCAGATTATGACTTGAATATGAACCACCACTCCAAGGCGTAGGCATGTAGCTCCCTCAGCAGCTGTGCTCCCACTTTAGGGAAGTGAGGCCCATGGAGTCATGTTGATAGAAGGCACAGTTTCAGTATACCCTCACCAGGGCCATAGAGTCACAAGATTTACTATGTACGAACCCCAGAAGCTGTGTGTGCGAGGGAGGTGGGCAGCCAGCAGTGCAATGAACAGCCCAGTGCAGGGGTGAACAGGAGATAGACAGCAGGGGAGCATACACCTGTTACTTACACAGTGACTGGGACAGAGGTCATGAACTCTTCCCAGGCTTAACATCAAGTAGTCATTTTAAAGCATGCCCTCAAAGAGCAAAGCAGGAACTTGTGGCAAGCATCCTAAATTCAATGCCAGATTCTGGGTCTGAGTAGGGCCATTATATTGTAAAATACCTGAACACCCCAGTCAGAAAATCAAAGTTGTTTTCCTCACAAGTTGTTAAGAAACCCGTGACTCTCAAGAGGAAGAAACCAGAAGATTATCAGCAGAGTCTCCTGTTCATGAGACCACCTATAATGCCGAGAGTCCCCCTCTGTGTCCTCCTGTCCCACTGGACACCACAGAAGGTTCTGACATGGGACAGAACAATATATTAATTAAATAAACTCCAAGGTATGTTGACCTCTAGAATAATAATTGACTCTACTTTTTTTAGCATGTCACATTATGCTTAGCTGTGTTGGGCAATATAGATCTTCAAAGGCTTCACAATGGGCCCCAATGACATTCCAAATAATAGAATGCCAGCCCAAATAGGAAAAAAACGCTGTAAATTAGAACAAAATAAACCCTCCCTTATTGCTAAATTTCCAGGAAGAATTTAAAGTCCCCAAATAAAAACTCTTGCCTTTATAACTTATAGCAGGAAAAAAACCTAGATTTCATACTTCTCCATTTTCTTATTCTCATCTTCAGCCAGAAGGCTCTCTCATTCAGGTTCAAGGGTAGAGTCAGTATTATCTTCAGCAACTGCTGTCTACACGTTTCCAACACCTATGGGACTGAAATAATTTCACTCCTGATATCTCAAGGATCCTGCTTTTTTTCAGATCCTCAGAGGCAAGGAGACCCATAAAGTGATGATGGCAGTAGTCTCACACTCAAAAATATTTAAGACATGTGGGTAAAGCACCAACAAGAGTTATTTCGGCCAAGTGATGAACGTGAATTCAAATACGTTGTGCAATCTAGGTCTCCATTACTGCTGCCAAAAAATGTTAGAAAAGAATACACTTAGGTGCGACCTTGCTGGAATTCCGCCAGTCTGTGTTAGCTGTTGAAGGTCCACAACTTGTGAACTTAGGCTAAGTTGGGAGACACCTATCAGGTGGTCAAATGGGGGCACGGTGTTTGTCAGTGTGGCATAGCTGGAAGAAATGTACCCTGCTTCCTCGCTGTCTGGTCTTCTTGCGATATTTAGAATTTCCATTGGGGACAACCTCTGTCCCCTAGTCTTGATGGACACTTCCTTCAGACCCATCCAGCATATTTGCAACTGTTTATTTCTCCTTTCACTTCCGAGCCTTATTTTTATGGAACTGCCATGGAGATGCAAGCTTCACCCCCTCTTTTAAGAAGGCACTTTAAGGCCTGACTACCAGGACTCGTTCTATAATCCATGGGTCAGGGGCAAATGATAATGTGAGGCCGTTCGTTGAAAACTGACTAATCATTTCAGGAACTGGAGAGCAGCAAGCATGAGGCCCTCGAAGCGCAGTGCCCTGTCAGAGCACACAGGGCCCTTGCTCTTGGAGCTGACCCTCTTGGCCACAGTGGCTTCTGCCACTCCTGTGGCCATGGCATTTTTTTCAGGCTGTAAATACCTCCCCGAGTCCCCAAGTTTGTTTCAACTTAGAACCATCCCCCACAGTTTTCATCTAAAACTGTTGTAGGTATTTCTGAAGCTCTTAGGACTGATACTACTGCCAAATGTTTCCTCTCAGAACCTTACCTTTCTTCAATTTTTTTTTCTAGAACTTACGCTATTTCAATGTGTCTATCATATGTTTTCTTGGAGCTGTTGGGTAGGCTCTGCTGCGATATTTTTAAATGTCATTGGAAAATTTTCAATCTTACGATAAAGTATATAGAGTAACAGAGTAACCTCCCGTGTTCCTATTCCCCAACAGCAAAAGTCTATTGCTAAATGATCGATAGTCTACCATTTTTGTTTCATCTATCTCATTACTTTATTCTGTTGCTGGTTTCTTTTAAAGCAAATCCTAAACATTAATTCAATCAATCTATATGTACTTCACATAAATTTTTTAATGACATTACCATTTTCATTACCTCATCCATCCCCAATTAGCACTCATTTTTTAGTGCAGTTGGCTGCCAGGACTGTGCAATTTTTATCCAAATGCTTCAAAAATATCTTTTTACCTCAGTTTCATTGAGTAAGGATACAAATAAGATCCACACATTGTATCTGGGGTTATGCCTCCTAAGTCATTTTTAATCTATAATAGTTCCTCTTTTTTCCCCTGATACCATTTATTTGAGAAACCTAACTCATTTGCCCTCCTTGAATTATGTAATCCTCTTTCAAGAGGTATTCAGCAATCAGACCAACTTCTGTTTGTGGAACTGATCCATCATTTTCCTGTCTTGCATATACTTACCTCCTTTGTACTTTCCTTCAGAATCTGAACTACATAAATTTCAAGTAAATAGAAGAACTAAGCTTCAAAAGCATTGTACTTGTTGGGGTTTCATAGTCTAATATATGTGCGTAAGTCCTAGAAACAAAATTCAAGAGCATGAAATACTGTATTTAAAATACAATGGGCAATTTAAAATATTTAAAAGGTTCAGAAGAACACTGGATTTGAAGTCGGAAGAACTGCGTTCAAGTGTCTCACCCCTCAGTTTCATTACTTTGGGAAAGCAACTTAAATGAACTGGGATTTGGTTTCTACATCTATAAAATAAGAGCAGGAATCTCACTGATCTCTGAAAACTCTTCCAAGCTTAGCGATTCTGTGATTCTAAGCATACTTCAGTCTGTTGTACATCCTGAGCCTCATACTCCACTCCTTAAAGATGAAATTTCTTCTCACATCAAAAGAACTTCCTCTTATCTAATCAGGAGGGGTTTAACCTCAGAAAGGAATACTAATTACCTATTGCCTGCCCACACTTACCCAAAAATATTCCTTTTCTTTGAGGCCTAGTATGCTTATCCTATTCTCTGAAGAGTTTGATTAGACAGATTTTGTCTGTCTTCCCACTACGATACAGTTGAAGATGTAAAGTATTAATTAGTTACTTCATTAATTCAAGTAAATGCTATTACTTTGGTCAGGCACTCTTCTAAGTACTGAACAAAATAGACAAGATTTTTTGTTGCTGAGAGCTCACAATCTAATGGGGGGGATAACAGAAAATGGACAAATAAAAAATAAATAAATTCAGATAGTGAAAGGTCTGTAAGGACAATAAAACAAGATGATAAAAAGTCAATGGGGGAAGGGTTATAACTTATACTGGGTGGTCAAGGAGAGCTTTTCTGAGTAAATGTCACTTAAATAGACACTTGCATGATACAAGGAACCTGCCACTTGAAGATCTTGAGGGGGCCTGTGCTCTGGGCTGAGGGGCAGCATGGGCAAGCTCCTAAGCTGGGAACAAGCTTGGAGTACCCTGCAGTGGTGAGAAATGTAAGGTCATAGCATAACTGCTTAGAAGCCAGGGCATGGCCCTTGGTGTTACCCTTAAGACAGAAGGAACATGGAAGGATTTTATGCAAAAGAACGTGACCTGATGTGTATTTATTTTTAGTTCTAATTTTTATTAAAGTATCATTGATATACAATCTTCTAAAGGTTTCACCTGAACACCTTGTGGTTTCAACATTCACCCATATTATCAAGTCCTCACTGCCCGCCCCCTCCTCCACTGACTGTAGTCACTATCAGTGTAGTAAGATGCTACAGAGTCATTTGTTGTCTTCTCCATGCTGTACTGCCTTCCCCATGACCTACCTATATTGTGAGCACTAATTACAGTCCCCCTTAATCCCCTTCTCCCTCCCTCCCACCCAGCCTCCCCAAACCCTCCCTATTTGGTAACCGCTAGTCCCTTCTTGGAGACTGTGAGTCTGCTGCTATTTTGTTCCTTCAGTATTTCTTTGCTGTTATAATCCATAAATGAGAGAAATTCTTCGGTACTTGTCTTTCTCCACCTGGCTTATTTCACTGAGTATAATATCCTCTACCTCCATCCATGTTGTTGCAAATGGTAGGTTTTGTTTTCTTTTTATGGCTGAATAATACTCCATCACGTATATGTATCACTGATGTGCGTTGTTGAAAGACCACTCCAGCTTGACCACTCCCTATAGGAGAGTCACTCACCACTTCTGTTTCCTAACAGTTTTTGCCAGAATCCTGCGGGCTCCTGCATCCCACAATGTCACCTTTGGCTCCTTTGTGACCCTGCGTTGTACAGCAACAGGCATGCCCGTCCCCACCATCACCTGGATTGAAAACGGAAATGCTGTGAGTGCCATCTGGATGGGGCTTGTCTGAGGAAGACTCACTGCTGGTGAATTTCAGGATAGACCACAGATTTGTAGAGCTAACCTGGTCTCTTTCACTGGTCCCACTGCATCTCCATTTTTCAAAGCCTTCCAATATTTTTGCCCTAGAAGTCGCTGCCATAAAAATAGAGCTCTGTGGATTTTCTTCTTTCCTTGTATCATAGGGAAGAGTAGAAAATCAAATTTCTCTCTATGTCTTTGTGTAAGAGGGAAGCGATAACAATTCCTTCCCACACAAGTAAAATAATTTTCACAAAAATAATCAGCTTAAGAATTAGTTCAGTGTTGGAGGCCACTCTGAGGAAAAGTAATCCAGAATTAGAACCCATATCTGTTCAACATTCTTTTCCCAATTTTTTTATACGGGTAGTAACAACTAATGTATGTGAAATGACTACTACGAGGCAGTCTCTGTTCTAAGCACTTTACATGTAAGCGTTCATGTACTCATTGTATAAATACTGGGCATCTCCTGGCTGTCGGACAGTATTCTAGGCATTGTGGGTACAGGAGAAAAGAAAACAGGTAAATTTCCCTGCCCTCAAACAGCTTACATTATGATAGGGAAAGACAAACAAAAAATAAAACAAATAGGAGAATGTATATTCTATGCAGATACTGTCAAGTGCTATGGGGAAAAATAAGGTGGGAAAATGAGACAAAGTACAACCTCAGCAGAAAGATTTCATTTTCAACAGAGGGATCAGGGGAGCCTCATTAACATGAAGACATTTGAGCTAAAATCTGAAGGAGCTGAAAGAGAAGGCTATATAGAAAACTGGGAGAAGATAACCAGGGGAAGTCTCTGAGATAAGGGTACACAGGGTAGGTCAGAGAAACCGGAAGTAGGCTAGTGTGGCTAGAGGTGAGTGAGCAAAGAGGACAGAGGTGAGGGGTTGTGGATCATGGAGGCTTGTGTAGGTCACCGAAACAACTTTGGCTTTTACTTGAATGAGATGGGATGCTACTGCAGGTCTGCTGCTCCTGTCTGTTTCCCTGCTGACTCCTGTTCATTGTATCTTGCTTTCTTGTCTGCCTAGTTATCTCTGACTGTCAGCTGTTCATTTTCTTGAGAAAAAAAAAAAAGTTAGGGATTAGTTTGAAGTCTAGATGAAGGAACATTTTTCCAGAGAGAATTTTTGTTTGTTTCTTCCAGGGACCAGGAACTCCCACTAATCTTGGATCACCTTAAACCAGGTTTTCTCATGATTTACTGTTGAACTTGATTCTGGCTCATCTTTTCTGTTTATCATTCATCCCTTCAAAACAGTAATAAACTAATATCACTTTATAACCTTGTAACTTGAGGTATGGTAGAATGAGAATTAGGTGAGGAGTTTGAAGATGTCCATTACAAATGCCCCTCTTCGGCTAATGTAATTGTAGGGGAGTCCAGTTATCTCTCAGAGTTTCTCCCCATGTCTATAATGACAAAGATGTCAGTTATCTGGGGGAAATCATCTCTAAGAATGACATCAGAGCTAAAGTTCTCCAATTTTGTTAAGTTACAGTAAAGTAACTTGTAGTCCCTATTCTTCTTTTGCTCTTTAATTAAATTCCAGTGTCATTTAAAATTTGAATTTTTTTGGCAATTTGTTTTTGTGGCTCTTCTACGGAAGCTGTTGCAGTTATCTTATGGCTCTCAAGGCAGTGTGAAGATATGCCCTAGGAGAACCAGGACATTAGTGATATGACTTTACTAATTTGTCTTACTCCATGAAAACAGCAATAAAGAAAATGGAAAAGGCATATGCTTTAAAAAATTCAGTGTTTTTAAAAGGCTCCTACAAGTTTAGAACTAGAAGTTACATTATTATTCTCTGTTGGAGTTCAGGAGTAGTAGTAAAAAAGTCATATGGTTTGAGTTAGTTTTGGTCTTTTTGAGACCCCAGCTTAATCATTTAAGATGCAATTCACAAAAAGCAGAGAGCAAAACAGATCCATTGCCTCAGATTCTAAAACAGGAATAAAGCAAATAGTGACTTTCTTCCAGGAAGAAAGCCAAAGTCCATCTGGAGTTCTCATGGTCAGAAAGAGGGCTGCTCTTACAGCCAAGTTTCATTCTGGGGATACTACCAAGTCCCCATCAAAATCGAGATGATTTTGCCCATCCAGAAGCACATCACAGGACATGGAGGCAATTTCAGGCATTCAGTGATATACAAGTAGCAGACCAGAAAAGTCTACTGAGGAGAACGGGGAAGAGCCCACAGCCCTGATACCATTTAGAATGAAGAGGAATGCAGAGCTGGGAACTCTTTGGCACAGAATAAAACAGAGTTTGAACTGTGGTCTTTACCAACTACAAGTCTAACCTCACTAACACTCTACTAAGTACAACACGTACTCGAAAAGATACGAAGGCCCCTTTCTCGCCCTCTGTGAATGTGCTATAAACTAAATCCTGATCCTTTAGTGCCAAGGTGAGCAACAGTTAGAGAAAGGCAAACAGCATGCCCGAGAGTGATCAAGAATTATTTTGCTTTCTTCCTATAGAAATGTCACTTATTTTTCATGAAAATCTATAGTCTTAGATGAACTTCAGAGTGAGTGGTAAGATACTGTTTGTTTGGCAACACTGGAAAAAGTTTGGTGTGGACAGAGCAGAAATTACTTTTCCAAAAAAAAATTCTTGTATTTTGATAACCAGATTTATTTAGTTATACCAATAATATCTCTATTATTTTGGCATTCAAATAAAAAATGTAGAAAGATGGCATCTCCCTTGCTTTGTCCAACAAATAGAGTTCAAATATATATTCTAAAAGTTGAATCATTTTAATTGGAATAATTAAAAACAAAATAGATGATCTATGTTGAGGATTGTATCTTCAAATTTTCTTAAGGGAGGCTCACCTATATTTTGCACATATTTTTAACAGGCAGTGTTTTTGGTTCAAAGCACATGAGCTTTGGATAATCATCTTATCTTACTAGTTGTGTACACTAAAGTAATTACATATATCAAGTGGAGTATACTATGTGGAATATTTCAGCAGCCAGATTGAAAGAGGTCAATATGTATGACTGTAAATCAAAAGCAATATGGAAAATTTTCTCAGTCCATTATCTTTTTTTCTATTATGCATAGACAGACTTTACCACTCCCTAAACATGAGCATTACTGGGCCATACCCTAACAGTTCCATGAGGTGTTGGAGAAAATCACATGTTCACTGTAAACACCAGATGCAGTCATTGCAACTAAGTATGCAGTTTTGCCGTGACATACCTTAATCAAAGGTCACAGTAATAATCTGAACTCATCCCTTTGATCTTCTAACCCTGAGGGGAAATGGAGAGCAAAGAATTGTTTTTATATTTAGGTCATCAAAAATACGAAACTGTTGGTCAGGATGATCCATGAAGAAAGAAAAACAAATTCCAACTATGACTAACAAGGCCTGCTGTGCATGAGTCACAGACTGAATCAAGCAAGGCCCCTGGAAACAGGAGGAAAAGCATTCAGGAGCCACATCGTAATCAAGCAATGAGCCTCCTAAGTGGCTGGTCTTTTCACTGAGCTGTTTCAACACCTGGATGAAGTCCAGGAGGAGAGCTTTTAGGCTGTTTAAAACTCACTTCTCTTTCCTACCAAGAATGTTTTCTGTGACCCTGAGGAGAAGTTTAGGAATGACTTTCTTAGGTGTGAACATGAAAACACTGAGTTTAGTCAGCGTTTGGGGGATTCCTTTTTTCTGAGTTGTCTCCTAGGCACAGTTCGGACCTGCTTGTTGAAGGAGGCGATGAACTTCGCGAAGGAGGAAGGCAGCTGCCCTAGAGATTTCACTTCTATAAACTGGAGAGGGATTATATCTGTAAACCAAAGACCCTTAGAGCATGAGGCACATTGACTGAGTATAGAAGTTAGAGGTTTCTGCTTTTTGCTCATTGTTGTTTTATATTAAAAATTCAGGGAGAGTCCAAAATTGTATTTCAAACTGTTCAGACCTTTTTATCAGCTTGGACACTCAAATCCATAGGATGCTGTACTTCTGATAGATATGATAATGATGAATTCAATCTGAATGTATCCCAATTTAGTTCATTCCCAACTTAGTGCATGTCTCTTAAAGATATTTTTCTCTCTGCCTTGTCAATTTCTTATGGAGTCCATGCTATTTATCTGGGGAAAATGCCTCAATACTTGACCTGACCTGGGAAGTTTCCCCAGTTAAGGTAAATTGATGCTCGCAGAAAACAGTTTTATCATAAGGATTGAAACTAGTAGTGCAGGTAGAGAATTAAAAGACAAAGAAGCTAGCTGGACAAACTTTCACTGCCTAATTTCTGCAGAGAGATGCTTGGTTCCAAGGCCAGCCAGCCACCTGGCAGCAGAAGGAAGAAAATTGGTCGCACCCCAAAGTTTCCCTCCCCCTGGCTAGTCTATCTGTAAAAATCCTCCCTCAGGTAAAATAACAAAATTACTCGCTCCAAATTTCTCATTCCCAAATACTGGACTTTTTAAGGCCACCATGGTAACCACATCTTGTCCTCTGAGATAAGGTCACAGCAAACCAGAGGCTGAGTGCTTGGTGTGATTCCATTCAAATTTCCTTCAAACTGGCACTTTCCCCTCATATAAGCTGCGGCCATTAAAGAATAATTACTGAAAAGATGGCACAGTGCTCAAGAAAACACTGAAAAAGAATCACCATTTTTAAAAATGCTACCACAGTAACAATGACAATTGTCATACGTTTGCATTGCTCATGGTGGATTTTTTTGTTGTCTAATGACTCTTCATTTGTCTGTCTTCTAGTACTAGGGAAGGCACTATAGCATAATGATTAAAAGCATAGGCTTTGGGATGAAACAAACCAGTGTATGAATTCTAACTCTGCAACCTAATAGAATGTGCTGAGCAGCTGTATTTCCCACAGAGTTGGAATGATGATGACTAATAAATAAGCACTAACATAAATTTCTCTGTCAGTTATAAACAATATTGCAATGGAATTCTGGCTCTGCAAAGATATTTTGACTTTCTGACTTAAGTAGTACATGCAGCATGCTGTATGTAACACCTCAAAACAGAATTGGCTTTACAACCATTTTTTTATAACTATCTATTTATATGATGTGCACTTGTGGAGAACTAAACAGGAGCTATGAAAATAAGCTGAAATGTCTACAACCTCTCACAATCGACTGTCTCTATCTTCAAGACATAGAACACATCTTGGAGGATCCACTGAGTATCTTTCCTACCTATGTTAGGATCTATTGTTGTATCACAACCAACTCAAAGTTTGGTGGCTTTAAAAAATAACCATTCATTAATGCTCTCAGGTCTGTGGGTCAGCTGGGTTGTTTTGGGCCAGGATATCCTGATCTTGGCTGATTTTAGCTCCTGTGATAGGCAGGTTGACTGAGTGCTGTTTGGCCAGATCTAGTGGCCATTCTTGGTTCCCAGATGGGGTAGTGGGGATGACTGAGCCATGTGTACCTCATCTTCCAGCAGGCTAGCTCTGGCTTGTTCACAGGGGACCACAGGTTCCAAGAGCAAGAAAGCAAGCCACCATGTCCAGGAACTTTACAAGTCTCTGTTCCTTTCTAAAACTTGTCACAAGGCCAATCTAGATTCAAAGTAGAGAGATGCTACTTGGGTGAAGAGCTTTAAAGTCACATTGCAAGGTCGTTGGCACAGGGAGGGAAACACTTATGTCTATTTTTGCCATCTATCACATGCCTTTTGATCATAATCCTAATACTTTTTCTTTCAAGTCTACTAATGCAGCATATTAAGGAATCATTGACCTAATTCTATCTGCTTTTTTCCCTACTCCACCAGGTTTCTTCCGGGACCATACAAGAAAGTGTGAAAGACCGAGTGATTGACTCAAAACTGCAGCTGTTCATCACCAAGCCAGGACTCTACACGTGCATAGCTATAAATAAGCATGGCGAGAAATTCAGTACTGCAAAGGCTGCAGCCACCATCAGTATAGCAGGTAGGATGGATTGTCACCACTGCATGGCTCCAGGATAGGGGAGAGTTGGCTTTATTCCATAGCATCTTGCATTGGGAAAAATCTCTTTTCTTTTATCTCTTACTCTAGTCCCCTTTGGGCTATTTCCTCCTCCCTAGGGACACTCCAAAGGTCAATCTAGATAACTGATTTTAGCTATTTTGTTACCTCAGAAACAAAATCCTCCAACAACTGCCCAAGTGATGGGTAACTTGGGCTTCTAGGACCTCATTTCTCTCTCTCCTTTCCTTTCCTTTCCTCCCTCCCTCTCTGCCCCCTTCCTTTCTTTCTGGTTCTTCCACTTTCTTTCTTTTCTGTGTTTTCCCTCCTTTTTCTTTCTTTCTCAGGGTTGTTCAAACTTTCCAAAGCTCTCACACAGTAAGTGAGCAGATATCCACATGGCTGTGCCTATTTCTACACGGCTACTTACTGAGGGCATTTTTACTTACAGGATGTGATCCACTTGTGGGGTGTCCCTTTCCTGTTTCCTGCAGGAAAGTGATATCAGGACATACAAGTGTTTTCAAGGAAAAAGGCTGACACATGGATTTCTAGGATATTTGTGTTGAGTTATAAAGGTTTATTTTTAAAATGGAAATATCCCAATGGCTCCTGAGAACATTTGTGGAATTCTTGGAGATGGCACTAATCCCCACATCAGGAAATGCCAGATCTGTTATATTCATAGCTTGCCTACTGCCCAAGGGTCAGCAGAGAGATGCTTGGCTCTCATGTAAGGCAAGTGCTGGTGGAGCTTACACTGAGGGCCAGCTCCCCAGAGCTGCTGCTGCTTATTACGGCACTACTTCTTTGATCTTCCTGGATGGGGAAATGTTTATGACTTAATATGAGATGAATGGAGACCACATAGAAATACAGAGGGACCACTGGACAAGGGTAGCCCTCTGAGGCAGGCCCATTAAGGAAAGAGAAGATTCCAGAACAAAGGATCCCTTCTGTCTTCTCTTCCAGGAATATATATAAGCTTATCATATCTTAAGACATAATTCATATCCATTATTCTAGAACTTCCATGAATTGGAAATCATTTCTCCCAGAGAATGCTGAGAATTCCTAAAAATGAATTCAACTCAATTTAACAAACAATAATAAAGTGATTATATTTGCATCACCCTTTTTTGTTTGTAAAGCACTCTTACATCCATTTATTACATACATTGGATTCAGGCCAAGTGTTAGGCTGAGTAAAGGATTCAAACTTAATTAACAAATGAGATAATTAACAATGGAGATCCTGTATTCCAGGGATTCTCACTCTAGAAAGAAGTCGGTCAGCTATGGAAATTATAGCACGGACTATGTTCTGTTGCAGTAGCATAAAGTACAATAGCAGGACAAGGGAGGGGGTACTAAAAGGAATCTTTGGGAAAGAGGTACCATCTAAACAGGAGACATGAGTATGAGACAAAGAGCTGAAAGTAAAGGAGACTGGGAGTAAGGTGGAGAATGGGAAGGAAGGTTTGAAACGTGTGCTCTAGCCATATTATTAAGAATCTGAGTAGGCTGAATGTGTTCTTCAATCAGTGGGAAGTCATTTAATTATTTTAAAGGAAACAAGAAATATGGCCAGATATATACTTCATCAAACCTAACAGAGGTTTGGTGTCAAAAGATTGGGAGGCATAGCATGCAGTTAGGAAGCTATTCCAGGAGTCTGAGAAACAACAGCAATTGGTACAGAGAGTAAAAGAGAGATGCCTGGGACCTATCAGAATAGAAATGATAAAATTTGGAAGTGCTTGAATGTGGCAATATGGTAGAAGGAAGAGTTTTTGAGGAAGGTGTTTAGGACAAACAATAACAAAACATAAGAAGATGAGAAGGTCCAAAAGATAATAATTAAAATTTGTGATATCATTGAATTACTTGTAATTATTCCAGTCTTACTATCTTATGTTTTTTGATCAACGCAATGTTGAAAAATATATATTTATATAATCTATAGATGGTAGATAGACAAATTTATATAATGTGTGTGTGCAGAGAGAAACATTTAAATACAAATACTCAAATGCAAGAAAATAAACTGATATAATCTAGCTTAATCTGCACCTCCACTAGACAGAAGAGAAAAATAAATGTCACTCACTTAAGAGAGTTATTTCAGGTAATGAGTCATTTAAAGATCAGATCCTTGCCAGGACTCTTTGTCCCCATGCTCCCTCTGTCTCTCCCCTAGATGGCCAGGAGAAAGGGACTTAGATTCATGCAGTGGTGTCCCCTGGAACCCCCTGATCTCTGGTGAAGTTTGCAGCTGGACGTCTTGTGATCTCATCTCTTGGCTCAGTTAGGACCCCGAGGACCTCCCTGGCCAGCTCAGCCCCTTCGAGGCTCCAGCACAGCCGCCTACATCTCAGTCAAATCCTTCATCAAGCCCCTCTCTAGACTCTTCTCTGCAACCTCTGCAGTGAGATCACCCTGTCTCTCCCACCGTGGCAGGCCTGCCTGATTCCAACTCAGCTTCTTCCTTGTCCTTCATGGGGCTTGAAGCAATTTCTGGATCACTTTCATGTTATACAAATCCAAGAGTCATTCAGACCTGCTAACTCAGTTCTGCTGTCTAGCCTACCATGTCGTACTACCATTTTTACACTAATGTGGCCACCCTAGCTGAGGGTGAGGGACCCCTCTAAGGTTTACCCTGTAAGGTTCTCTGCTTCCAGAGTCCCAAATAAGTAGGAAAATTCCCTCTGTTTTTGGCTTTTTCTTTGATTTATCAATACATCTCAGAAATCTGTAAAATGAGTACCTGAAGTCTTTATTCCCTTCCCTTCCTCCCTTCCACAACATACCAAGCTGGAGGGACTTGTTAGGGACACCCCTTTAGTGTTCAGAGCCTACCATCATAAGTTAAAAATGGGTGTGAAGGCAGTGCTACGGCCACTGAGGAGGAGAACCTAATAAAATAGATATACCTATCCCACACAAAGGCTGATTTCTTGCTCAGAGATGGCTTCTACAACGTTGAAAGGACTACAGAACAAACTGCCACCATACTGTATACAGCAACATCACACACCATCTCTGGCCTAGGCCAAATGACAACCAGATTCAACTCCATTACTGAATGGGATATACCAACAGAGGAAGCTCTAGTCCTCAAAAAAGTAATGGTATCTTCTGGGCTTAAAAAGAAAAGCCTTAAGGTGTGGACAAGCAGCATAGAAAGGCAATGCCCCAGGATGCAGGGAGAAGTGGTCTTAAACATCAGTGTTGAGAATGGACTGAAGATGAAGGCAACCGCAGTGGTGACCTGGGAAAAACAGCAATAGAATTTGCAAGGGAAAGGGATGGTGGGAGCAATACATGGATTGGCATGTAGAGGCAGAGAGAGTTTGAAATCTTCTGCAGCAGCAGAGTTGAATGCAAACAAAAGGCAGTGGCCTCAGCGGGGCAATGGTTGTGCAGACTGGAACCTGCAATAACTGATTTTAGCCAGTGGGCCTGGCAGAACATGTTTTGCAAGTATTAGGTCCTGCATTTGAACCAATAAATGTGACTCCTTCTGCACATGTAAGAAAGTTACTAAGAGGAGTAAAGAGGGACTCCCCCAAGAAGCTAATTTATAAAAAGCTGCAAGACGCTTTTGTTCCTCCCCTGAGAAGTTTTTCCTGCTGGGTCTCACTGACTATGAGACTTGAACTCCCTGCTTTTCTTAGCATCTTCCCAGGCAGATTTAATCAGGGTATCTCAGGAGTGCAATGGAATAAGACCTCTGAACCCCCTGAAACACCTGCCATATTCTCTTTCTCTCTGTGACCTGTTGTTTTCAGTTAAACCTGCTGCCTGCCTCGTATAAGTCCCTCTTCTATCACTGAGGAAACCTCCCAACACTGGGCTGCTCCCTGAACCAATACTGCAAGGAAGTAAGACCACTTGGGTGAAAAAGAGGTCTATGGAGCCACTTTATTTCAGAACAATTTCAAAGAAGCATGGTCTTATGCTCCCCAGCTTTCCCAGAACTTAGAGGTGGTATTTGCCTTTTTCCTTTCCTCTTTCAGCTCCTTTCTTCTTTGGCCTCTGATGGGACTGGCCGGAGGTCCAGAGCTTTGAGTCAGATATGGTGCCTCGCCTTGACATTCTGGCAATGCTTCCTTACCCCAAATTCTCCTTTCTCTCATTTCAACCACCCCCAGGGTCCCCTAGTGTTCTGCAGTCAACAGGCCCCTTTGTCACATTCTCTGTGTTTCACTTTGAAGCTTTTACTCCATCGGTTTATTTACTCATCCCAGCAGGAAAACCAGAAGTGGAAAAATATGGCCTAGTGTTTAGGATTATGTCTAATGATATTTCTAGTATTTGAAGGACAACAAAAAATAAAGATCAGCCTTCATTTTCCCAAAACTCTTCCATGTGTATACCCAAATCATTATTCATTGTTTGAGAAATATGATATACTTCTTTCTGACTCATTTACATTTGCTGTTAGTCATCAAAAGAAGTCAAAGACACTTTTGGAACCTCTCCCTATGAACCAGGAAACTGCCATTTCCCCTCCAGTCCCAACCCTGGAAGGCTCAAATTGCAATTTAAACTCACCAGGATGCTGGGTATTTGGCAAGATGTCATCTCTTTGTCATCAGAACACTATGCCCTGTGACAGAGACCAGCAAGACAGTCTATGTTCCCTATAATGAGCATAGTCCTGGAAGAACCAGAGGCCATCAAAATAGACACAGGTATTAATTCTACCAAACATTTAAAGAAGAATTAATACTAATCCTTCTCATACTCTTCCAAAAATTGAACAGGAGGGAACTCTCCCAAAGCCAGAAGAGGACACATTTTACAAGGCCAAAATTACCCTAATACCAAAGCCAGATAAGGTCACTTTAAGTAAAGAAAACTAAAGACCGCTTTCTCTGATGAATATAGATGCAAAAATTCTCAACAAAATATTAGCAAACCAAATTCAACGGGACATTAAAAGGAGCATACATCATGATCAAGTGGGATTTATC